AATGAATAAAGAGGGCTGGGTGCAGTGGCTCCCACCTGTAATCCCCGCAATTCAGGAGACTGAGGCAAGGGGATTGATGGAGTGCAGGAGTTCAAGACCAGCCTGGGCAGCATAGTGAGACCCCATCTCTGCCAAAGAAAAAAAGAAATTCACCGGGCATGGTGGTGTGCACCTGCACTCAGCTACTCTGGAGGCCAAGGCAGGAGATGAGCCCAGGAGATCCAGGCTGCAGTGAGCGGAGATCATGCCACTGCACTCCAGCCTGGTCAACAGAGCCAGACCCTGTCTCAAGAGACAAAAAGGGGTAGGGGACTTCGGGTTCAGATGAGTACGTTCATTGGATATAATTAGTTGTGACATGTTGACTTTTGTGCATATAATTTAATTACTTAAAACTTGTTTATACAGATGAGGTTGCGAATTTTTAAATTCCTGTCTGTAAGACATGTGCATTCTATAAGTCATAGGTTAGCTTCCACTTGGAATTCCTATTCAGCCAGTGGACAGTGACTTATTCAGTTCTGGATGGCAGGCAGGGACCGGGGAGAAGTGGAGAAAAGTCCCCCAACCCAGAGGACGGGGTCTAAACAAGTGCGGGGTATGGGGGACAAGAGGGTGGAGACTGGCTTGGGGGCGGGGCCTGGAACGGGACGGGGGAGGGGCAAAAAGGAAAAGGCTGTCTGGAAGTCGGGTCAGATGGGGGAGGGGCGGGGCCAGAGGGTGATTGGCATCTTGGAGGGTGTTGTTCTGGAGGGTGTTGTTCTGAAGGGCGGGTTCTGGAGGGAGCAGCTCTGGGCTCTCAGCTGTGCCCAGGATGTCGCCTACGGTCATCATTTTGCCCTCCAGGATTTGATCCTCTGGGTTCTGATTGGTGTGTTGCTTCTGATGTGCCCTGGTTATTACCCCTAATATCACACGGATGCTTCCTGTCCATTTTAATACTTCAATCAATTTTTGCAGTGGGTCACCTATACTGAATGCTGAATCGTTTTTTCTCTTAAGTTGAAAATGGTTTTAATGCAAAGGGCCTTTTTTTGAGCAAGTAACGTTGCGCGTCCTGCAGGCAGAGCGAGCCCCCCTTGTCTGGGGCAGGGTGGAAGAGAGAAGAAAGGACCCCCGTGGAGTGGGGTGCTGGTTGCAGGGGGGACTGACAATTAGAAAGGCTTATTAAACTAAGCAAGATCCTGGGTTAAGTGGTTAATGGAAACTGAAAGGTGACATGCAAAATTGCCTATTACGGCCGGGCGCAGTGGCTCACGCCTGTAATCCCAGCACTTTGGGAGGCCGAGGCGGGTGGATCACGAGATCGAGACCATCCTGGTCAAAATGGTGAAACCCCGTCTCTACTAAAAATACAAAAATTAGCCGGGCATGGTGGCGTGCGCCTGTAGTCCCAGCTACTTGGGAGGCTAAGGCAGGAGAATTGCTTGAACCCAGGAGGCGGAGGTTACGGTGAGCCGAGATCGCGCCATTGCACTCCAGCCTGGGTAACAAGAGCGAAACTCCGTCTCAGAAAACAAAACAAAAAACAAAAAGAAAAGGGCAATATGGCAATAGGCAGAGGCCAAGGAGGATCGCTTGAGCCCGGGAGTTCCAGATCAGCCTGGGCAACATAGTGAAACCTCGTCTCTACTAAAAATCAAAAACTCAGCCAGGTATGGTGGTGCACGCCAGTGGTACCAGCTGCTCGGGGAACTGAGGTGGGAGGATCACTTGAGAAGGCTGTATTGAACCCTGATTTGCCACCACACTCCAGCCTGGGTGACAGAGCTTGTCTGTTTCTCAAATAAGCAAATAAATGGGAGATATTATTCCTCCTTTGAAAATAAAGGAAGAGTGGCTGGGTGCGGCGTCTCACTCCTGTAATCCCAGCACTTTGGGTGGCCGAGGCGGGTGGATCACCTGAAGTCAGGAGTTCAAGACCAACGAGAGCAACATGGTGAAACCCTGTCTCTACTAAAAATACAAAAAATCAGCTGGGCATGGTGGCACATGCCTGTAATCCCAGCTACTGAGGAGGCTGAGGCAGGAGAATTGCCTGAACCCAGGAGGCGGAGGTTGCAGTGAGCC